ATAAATGAAGACGCCATGGGATGTAAACAGTCAGTACTGAAAGAGAACTCAGGGAGCAAATACTGGTGTAGAAGGTTGATACTGCTGGCTGAATAAATGATCAGGAAACCCATCCGAGCACTGCCAAGACACAGAGAAATTATGCATTGGCAGGCAGTTCTGAATGTCATTTTGATGGGTCACCCTGAGGTGGACCATGCAGAATTGGAAGAAGAAAGCATGCTTAAACTGAAATATGAGGACAGTGGGAAATTCTCTTGTTGATGCACCCCAGTAATTCCCTGACAAATGACTGAGTGATGGGCAGGCAGTTGTGCCATTGTCTTGGAGTGCCTCTGTTTCTAGTCTTTAGTTATGGGAGAGAGAACTGGTGTGATAGATGGAGTTCATGTGTCTGATCGTTCTTTTAGTTTTGAAATGTCTGTGGGTGGAACTTTTTATTGGCACTAATAAATTATTTACCAGTTGTGGCCTGTGGTGTGCTGGCAGGTGGGTGTTTACTTGTATAAACAGGGCATTCTACTTTGGAACTTACAGTCAAAATGCAGCACCTCACGGCAAATTTCTGTTTATAAGATCGATTCACTCAGGCAAAGCAGAGCCAGAATGTTACTATTCTGTACAATAGAGTGGACCACAAAGCATGGCAAGGCTTTTCTCCATATTTAAAGAGATTCCACAAAACCCAGCTTTGATAGTAAAAAGTAAAAAATGGACCACATGGAAGTAAGCTTAACAAAAATTTTAATATCAATGTTAACTTTTATATACTTTCTTTAAGTTACAAAAAGTGGGAAGAAACTATGTAAAACATAGTTTAACATTGTAATTCTTATGGTTTATATTTCTGATAAATATCTCACTGTACACTAAGGGAATAAATAAAATTTTAAAATCATTTATTTTTTTTATGCCCGAGTGTATGTATGTGCTGGAGTCTATGATGTTCAGAAAATGTCATTGGATCCCCTGGAACTGGAGTCACAGGCAAATGTGAACTGAACCTGGGTCCTCTGTAAGAGTAGTAAACACTTCTAAGTTATCTCTCCAGATCCAAAAAACATACAAATAAAAATTCATGCATTTGACTCCTGTAAAGGCATCTGGTTATAAACACAAAATATTTTAAAGTAGTAAATCCTGACAATATTTTTACACTGAATGCTTAAAACATACAGCAGATTTCTTCAGAATACTTTCAAAGGTCTGAAAGAAAATTATTTATATAATTCTATTTATGTAATAATTATAACAATAAAAGTAAAAAACAGAGTCAGTTCTAGACCACCAAGTAACAGAATTTGTCTGAGGAGATAGTCACCAAAAAAAAATTATAAAGAAACTATTTTGGATGTCCAGAGTAATCCTAGATAGAGTTTCTTAGCTATCAGATTCATAAGTAGAAAGTGAGGTAGCAAGGATATGGGCTAACCTACACTATTTTTCCCCATTTCAGAAGATACTGTCTTCCAGGTTTAATATGAGGGTGACTTAAGAATGAACACGGGGACTATAAACTTAGAAGAAATGTTCATTTGTCCTAATGTCACTGTACTTTCTCTGGCAAACAGCTTTGATGTTTCTTTGAACTTTGACAGGCTGCATGATGTAATTCCCAGTAACAGATTAGAAACAGAGTACATACTTTCTACTGTAGCAAAAAGGAAATTGTATCATAAAAACAATGTTTAAGTAGGTAAGACATTAAGAAGAAAAATTAACAATTCAGTAAGAACGTGTATTTAAATGCAAATATATATTAGTAGTTTAACCCAATATAAGAAAATTGTTTATGTTAAAAGCACAAGCATTTTCTGGTATGATAAAAATTGATAAAAGTAGTTGATAAAAATAAGAGGCTATAACAAAAATTACCCATGCAAATTGTGTCAAACAATCCAAACCAACCAACCAAACAAACAACAACAACAAAAACCCAGTGAATATAACTATGAAATCCAGTGAGTTTTTACAAAATAGAGGCCAAATTAATGGCCAAGGTAAATCTTTTATATATCAAACTACTTTACTGTGACTAGAAACTCATTAATTTCAAAATCTTTGAATCAATTTTATGTTAAAAAAAGATCAAGGCTGGGGCGGGGGTGAAATTAGGAATATTAAGGAATGCACAATCAAACTGGGAGATATTTAAAGTACTAACACAAGTAATTATGAAGGACCAAATGGACATATCCACAGATTTACATATCCTTTGCACAGTCGTCTACGTGCGAGGTCAGAAAGTGAGTCTTCTAAGGAATTTGAACAGCACAGTATTCTACTGTCAACAGGACTAGATCCCATGGGAAACACGCATTCTTGTATTTGGCCAATTCCTTATACAATGGACGCTTACTACTTGAGCTTTAGCTGTTAGAAGAAAAGTCCTGATGAACACGTGTGCAGTTTTCTCTGTGTGCAGAGGTGAGCCCCTCTGTAGCACAGATAAATATAAGTAGAATGTGCAGTATATTTGGAATTATAATGTACAAAAATTCCTCTAAAAATGTAGTATTTTGTATGTTCTTTTTACATTATAAGGCACTATAGGATCATTTTCCACACTCTTAACAAAAAATTGATGTTATTGTGTTTCAAATTTTTGCCTTTCTGGCTGAAAAAAAAATTTTCAGCTACACTGTGCTTCTTTGACCACCTTTCCTGTGGAAGAGATCTGCTCATTTTGTATTAAATGTCTCTCTACTTTCCCGTTTATTTAGTACCTAGAGCTCATATGTCTTCATTATTTTATAATATGTTGTTAATTTTTTCTTCTCTCCTATTGCTCATTTTTCAGTGTTTATTCTGGTAGAAGTTTAGGTAAGTTTAGTAATTAAGGTCATACCATAGATATCCTAGAATTATTTTTGCAACATTTTACTTTGTAAAATTGTTGTTTAATTTAAAGTTTTTTTTATTTAAGCATATGCACTTGTATATTTTTACTTCTCATCTTCCATAGATGTTAAATAAGAATGGATGTATGTGACCTTAAATAACAAAAACAAAAAATTAAGAAGGAACAATGTATTAATGATAGTTTTATCAATGTGAAAAGTCTTTCTGTAACTTTTTTGAAACTTGGGCTAGAGATATATCGCAATGCTGGAGTGCTTTGCTTGCAAACAAAAGGTCGCAGATTTATCTTCAAGATAACAGTAAAAGGGGGTTGATAAATATTGAAAATTATATTGGTTTTCTATAACAGTCTGAAAATCACTGAATTAAATTATTCCAAAGTTTTCTTTCATTGTTAATATTTTACAACACTTTGATTTAATCCACTTTTGGCATCATATTTCCCAGGAGAAATGAATGCTATTAGAACATGTTGTGAGTTAAACTGAGCACTGAAACCAGGCAGTGGTGGCGCACATCTTTAATCCCAGCACTTGAGAGGCAGAGGCAGGCAGATCTATGTGAATTCGAGGCCAGCCTGGGCTACAGAGTGAGTTCCAGGAAAAGGAACAAAGCTATACAGAGGAACTCTGTCTCGAAAAACCAAAAACAAACAAACAAACAAACAAACAAATAAATAGAGCACTGAAATCAAATGCCTTTACTAATCAGTAGAGAAGATGTTTTAGTAAAAAAAAAAAAAAAAAAAAACCTGAAAATTTCAAACATCAACAAGGGGATTCTTAGAAGTCTCTTTGTCATGAAAAGAAAGAAAAGATATGATAAAGAAAAGTTCATTTTGAGATGTGCAGTTTAGGAGGCCTTTAAGTAAAACATTTTTTTGCGTGCCTACTACCTATGGTGTTACACCTCTCATATAGCCTTGAGGCAGGGGAAGGGGCTTGGATCTGCCTCTGCTGAATGTACCAGGCTCTGCTGACTCCCCATGGGAGATCTTACCTTCTTGTAGGAGGCAATGGGGCGTTGGTTAAGGGGAGACGGCTAGAGGGGCTGGAGGAGGGAAGAGGAGGATCTTTTATTGATATGTAAAATGAATAAAAAATTTAATTAAAAAACACAGCAAGGAAAACACCACCGACTTTTTGTATTGGGTGAGTTAAATTTACTTTCTGAAAATTTTTTCTGAGATAGATTTTACTCATGTTAATTTCTCAAGGCTCTAGTTACTACATCATTGTGTATTTAAGAAAAAAATAATTTGAGTTAAAATTTTTTTTTCACATTTATCAACATCACATATTCATTCTCAGCTGTGAATATACTTATATAAATGGAAAAGCATCAAATCCTTTCTTCATAATAATTTATTTTCTCTGTGTAAGATTAAAGAGTAATGAAACAGAAACAAATAATCTCATTTTAAGTGAACATTTAAAAAATAAGACAACTGAGTATATTGTTCACTGTTATTACATTAATTTTTCTATATTCCAAGATATTTTCAACAACAAGAATGATTTGATTTTTAAAAGTAACAAATAGTAAGGGACAAGGTAGGAGGAAGGAACTCATTGTGCGGCTGGACTGCTTGGCTTAGAATTATGACTGCAGTATTTCCTGTTATATGATTTTGAACCAATCTCGCCATTGATTTGGTCCATAACTTTCTTTTCTCATTCTAAATGTAAAGATGATTACAATTCCATCTTTCAGATGTATGATGAAACATGTCATAAAACATTAAGTGTTTGTTCTTTTTCTAAATCACAGTTAACAATAGTTTTATTATTTGATACATGGGCACATCATGAGTTCTATGAATTTAATACTTTGTTTAAGCATCAAATTGTGGGTGACAACTTCAGACTTAATGATAGACATTTGATTCAGTGAATATGTTCCCATTGTGCTCTCGTTTATGTTATTGATTCAATTTGGCTCAGCGACAAACTAATGTGATCTTTAAAATTGTCTTACTGGACTTTTCCCCTGGCGTTTCATACAAATCATAAGCGGGAAAGCTGAAAGTAAAAGGAAATGTTGCATATTGAAAGAGCAAGCTGATGAGCTGTGTTGTAACAGAAGAGGGGGCAAAGCAGCTCCGAGGGCAGGCAGCGGCCTTTTAAGGGCACCAGGGTGGTGGTGCCCAGTCCACTGTCAGTCACCGTAGAGATCAGATCACAATGCTGGCAGAAATCATATTTGGAGAATTATATAAGGCTTTCAAGAATGAATATTGAAAGAATGAGATTATAGAAAATTATAAAATTCTAAATCTGACCTTTTTTTCTACTGAAAAGAAATTGAAACCCAAACCGTGAGATTCCTGTTGTTTTGTAATTGACAAACACTTAGCTGTAGGTTTGTATGATTGCTGATTTATACAAGTTACTCTGGTAAGTTATTCTAAAAATACATACATTTTTTCCTCCTTTTTGTACTTAAATAAGAGTT